CCTAACTAAAGCACGACTAGTAGCGCCCAGACACACAAACCTCCACACGTTTCCATTGTACACCTTTCAAAATACCTTCGTCGTGCCGCTTGACGTTTTTGTTTTCATACAAATCAATGCGAAAGAACAAGTAAATGTTAGACTTGTGCTGAAATTATTACATTAAATTTACAATACTATCTAGACTGAGAATCGCTTTAGGGTTTAGATGAACTAAATTACTAATAAAAAAAATTAGATTGCTTTTTCATAACTCTTAAATTTACTATTAAATAAATAGAATGAAATGTATAAAATACATAAAAAAATCAATAAAAAAAATGTAACTTTAATCAAATGAATCCATTAAAATAAAGTTGATAAATCCAAGGTTATCTCTTTATATTAATTGCAATCTAGTACTAAATATCAAAATATTTAAAAGAACCCAGTAAATACCTTTCCCACAGATCTAAAAACGTTACTAAAAAAAAGACTATAAAAATGTTATAACTTTTCAAGGGCGTACATGGCATAAGTATTAAGTAGTCTAATTTTATCTAAACGTATTGTTCTACTATCGTTCCTAACAGAGTTCTCGACGTATTTTAAAATATGCAATTAAATGAAATTTAAAATTATAATTAAAACGAAAATATTCACTAGAATAAAAGACCAATAATTAATGATTAAAAAAAGACAAACTGAAACGGAGGATGATGATGTTGCTGAACTATAGGAGGAATGAAAGTACTCAACCCGTGTCTTTTGTTTTTTGTTATTTGTTACGCAATATCCTCTCCAATAAGGCAGTGGTAGCCCAGTGGTAACGCGCTCGCTCGGGAAACCGAGTGAAGCGAGTTCAAACCCCGGGTCTCGCACCTCTGATATTTTCATGTACGAATCATTTTCAACATGATTACCACTTGTCTTAACGGTGAAGGAAACCATCGTGAGGAAACCTGCATGTCTCAGAGAACCTAACAAGTTTTCGAAAGACATGTGAAGTCCGCCAACCCGCACTTGGCCAGCGTGGTGGACTATGGCCTGATTCCTCTCGTACTGAAGGGAGGCCCGTGCCCAGCAGTGGGACGTTAAAAAGGGCTGAATACATACATACATCCTCTCCAATTGTGAACCAATATTCATGATCCTCTTTTTAAGTGCCTATTATGTTGGCCCAAAAGAGGTGATCTATATTAAAATAAATATCTCTAAAGGTCATTCATTACTTTCGAAATTAGTGCTCTTTAGTTAAAAACTTAAAAAGTAATAATTGTGTTGAGTGTTTCATACGTATATATTTATAATTTTTAAAACGTTTGTCCGCTGAATCAATCATTAAAATGTGTTTGTAGCGTAATATTGTGATTTAATATGTAATAACGTAACAATAAATACTTTGAATTTTCCTCCAACAGTAGGTTATTTGAGTTGACTACTAAGTCGTATTAAAGTGGAAACAGTCACTTATTGTAGTCTAAGCACACAAGAATGCAGGTCCATTACACTCAGCTATTTTAATTTTAGTTTATATACATTTTATTTATAAATAATTGAGAATTTATTATTTAATTAGGGTAATTTCCCTTATGCCAAGGGGTTTTTAAATTTTTTTACTTTCTTACTCGCACATCTAGGATTCAGTAGTACGCGGTTCGGTTCACTACATTCAATATACGGCATGTTTCAACATAGATAACTTATTACGTTAATAATAAAAAAATAGTAAATATTTACTTAAATGTGAAGACAAAATTATTTTTGTGGGCAAACGCATTTACCAAAAATATCTCAAGAAGTACTTGGCGTATATTCTTCAGAACTTGAGACTTGGAGATTGGATTGTGTTACATACATTCCTTATTGATTGATAATTTTAATTAAACTGTATTTTTATACTCGTAATTACTTTATCATAGTAATTAAAATTATATAAGTAATACATCTAGTAAATACCGTGACATAAGACATTTCACATACGGCTAAGAGCTTCTCATCTTCGCGCTTTATCGCTTTATCGCGATCAATCGCTCTTGAGATAGATTATTATTATCGTATTCCATCGTAGAGAATTATGTGTTCTACAATTTTTTCAATTCCATAAAATGTCATTTAGCGTTAAGAAATAAGAGAATTACAAAAAACCATTTTTCAAAACTTTTAGCCTTTGATTTTTTTTTATAATATTAACGAGCAAACCAGCAGGCGGGTCTCCTGATATTAAGAGATTACCGTCGCCCATGAACATTTGTAGCACCAGAGGCACCACTAATGCGTTGCCGGCTTTTCAGGACTTTATTGGTCCGCCCCTTGAATAAACCCATGTTGTCATCAAGCGAGAACACAGTCGATGGGAGTTGGTTCCACAGTTTGGTAGTGCGTGGAAAAAATGATCTGGCACAACGAACAGTCGAAGTGCTCCAGGTACCCAGGTGGTGAGGGTGAAATTTTTGTGCGGTTGTAGAAGAGAGAGGGTGGGATAAGGTCAAATAGCTCTTCAGAACACTCCCCGTTATATAGCCGATAGAATACGCAAAGAGAAAGAGAGATTGATGCCTTGTGAAGTGGATAATATACATACGTACCTACCAACAAATAAGTTTCTAAAACAAACGTAAATACAAATTTATGGGTAACCACATACAGTCCTCGCGCCTTAAGCTCAGCTTTGCATATGTGTGAGTGTACACACATAGTGCAGTGTGTAGTGTTAAATATTGATTTTATTTTTATGTGATTTTTTGACTAACCTTCCTTTTGGATATCACTCACATAATGCAACGCTGAGCTTACGCCTCGAGAACTGTTCAAACAGATACACGTGATAAAATTATACCCTTTCCGTTTTAACTATATTCCGACAAAATTCCAAAAATGAGTAAATATTACTTTATTATTCGGTAATAAATGTGTTAGTGGAAATAAAAAACGGAATTAAAAGAATCACGTTTATTTATTTATATGTATACTTAAAAGAGAAAAATAATAAAACTACTTATTCGTATTGTTTAATGTTTATACATTTATTTGGGGCATATATACCTATTATAGAGTCGAATCAAAGTAGTGACAAATAATCAAAGTAGATGTCTTGTATATCAATCATATTAATAACCAATTTAAAATGAGCTCACCCCATATTTTATAGATAAATACGGATAGGACAAACAGTTTTGGATACACTCAACCGACTCGGATAAGTCTCGTCAATATTTTAACTCGGAAAGTGATCTGTACTTAAACAAGAAAAACCATTACATTGAGATACGTTTATATGAATTCACATTTCGACAGATACTCTAATATGAAATTGTTACTTCAGTATATACCGAATATCGATACTATCTAATACTACTAGTGATGCGCCCTTGCTTTGCTTAAGCGCTCAAGCTCAACTTATGTGGTGCAAAATCGTAATGCAAAAATTTAATTTATTTTCTGTTATTATTAAACAAAAATAGATACCAACAAAGATTTGCTTTTATGTTGAGTACTAGCATTGCCCGCGGTTCCGCCCGCGTTCAAGTGACCCAAAACCAAATTCTTAGGTTTTACATATTAGTATACCCTTACATTGAAGTTTATGGATTTTTTCTCAGAAATGAGATACTTTCCCGCGGTAAAAAGTTTCTATATGTTGACCCGGATAACCAGCTATCACCATACCAAATTTCATCAAAATCGCTCCAGTGATTTTTCCGTGATGAAACAGTCAGACAGACAGACAAAAATTCTAAAAACTATAGATTCGGCCTCTTTATTGATAATAATGTCTATTTCAATAAGATTTTCCAAAAAATATTTAATTTACAGATTTGACTTTGTTAGGATTTTATTATATGTATAGATTATTTTATATCTTCTAATTTTAACATAAAGATAACAATCAAAACATTTGCTAAAACACAATAATATCCATATAGAACATTATATTATAAAGTACTAAGCGAATATGGAACACATAATATTATAAATTATTCAACATTAAAACAGAAACAAACATTCGTTTAATTCGAAGATTTTTCTAAAAACATTAAAATTAACATCATTTTATTTATAAATCTTTTCAAACATACCTATTCATAATTTATAATTGAGACAAAAAAAAAGTTTATAGTTTTTATCAATTGTCAGTGTTAAGTTAAACAATTTCTTCTACCAATGTTTTCGTCCTAAACCTGTCACAATGATATAATCACGGTAATGTTATATAATATTAGCGTGATATATTTCACTAGTACCCTCGTTTACCCGTAGGTGCCTTTTGTATTCATCTATATATTGTACTCTACACTAATATTATAAAGAGGCATAGTTTGTTTCTTTGAACGCGCTAATTTCTGGAACTACTAATCTGATTTGAAAAAATATTTTTGCATTAGATAGCCCGTTTATTGAGGAAGGCATATCATTTAATATATACTCTACCTATTCCATACTAACCGTTAAAACATACCTAGGGACGAACCAGAGAGAAAGCGCGTGTGAGTCGCTGGTTATACTATACACTGGCAACGCTACCTTTTGGCAAATTTTATACTAACAATAGACTGTGTTACTCTAGGCATCGATCAAAAAAGTACTAGATACTCAATCCCATGCAAAAGTTCTCTTAAAACTGTCACCAATTGTGTTTAGGTAATTATTCTAGTTGAAATAAATATACAACAATTTAAATTGAACCTTAAATGCAATGATTAAAGTTGTTTTCACAAAAAAAAAAAAAATTAAAAACGCGCTCAAATGTTCAAATCAGCGCTCATTCGGTGAGGACATTTTTTGTCGCTGATTGTGTATCTTTACTTATTGTAGTACTTTTTGATCGTTGACTCCAGGTCATACCTTAGAGTCTGTGTACTGAATTTCATTCAAATCGGTCCAGCCATCGTTAAAGAGTAACAAACATACAAACTTTTGCATATATAATAATGTTGTGTGATAAAGATTTATATTATTAGGGTATATAAAATTAAGTACCTACAACTGTTTCTTAATCACAATATTCAATGTATCTATCATTCAGCGTCTAAATACGCCGTATTTTCTAAACCACCGACATATTTAGACGGTTTGATCTCACATTTCTTTGACTTTTTATCCCTATATTCGACTACGAAGTAGAAAACAGTGCCTATAAGCATACATGCCATTAAAACATAGGTTTTGGCACTGGTTCGTAAGTATGGTGATATAATGTAGGCGATAATGTAGCCCACTGACTCCCACAACCTAAAGTTGGAAAACGCAGCCTCTTCTCTACCGGGAAACAGGATTCCATAGTATGCTGTGGAAAAATATAAAAAGATATTATTATGTGAAGACAGAACAGAATCGGCATTCCCATTCAACGGGAGAATGCGGCTAGCATTCTTGCCACTATTCCACGCGGACATGACTTGTACAGTAATAACTAAGTTTACATTTGTTTTGAATATTTGTAATTTTCTTTACTGTAAATAAATTTATAAATTAAAAGTGTTAATAGTAAAAATTAAAAAATAATGTCAAGACCGAAGTATATTTTTCAAATACATATTGAATTATGCTTTATTTTGAGATCTTTTTTATTTAAAACTTGTTTTATAAAACTAATATTTCTTGAGATATCGCGCGCAAGAGTACGATTAAGTAGGAGATAATCGCAAAAAACCGACGACGATAGCGAATTTTGTGCATTTCGAGCCCGATGTCTCCAGAAATATTAATTTTAGAAAAAAGGGTTTTAAATAAAAAAGATAGGAAATTTAATTTAAAAGAGAACAGACTTCTATATTTTTTTACGTCGAATGAGTTGTTCTGGATATATTGAATAAAAGGCATTTTTCGCGATAGTACTGCGCCAGAGCCTCTCGAGCGACCCGTCAAACTTGGCTTAAGGCTTGGAAAACGCCTCTTTACGGAATGGAAATATAGCGAAAATTGTTTCATTTTATGTAAATTGATTCATCTATTGACTGAACTATTTAAGCCCTGAAAGTAGTCGCAGTCCATTTTTTATTTTTCTGGCAAAGTAAATTATGCCTAAATTGCACAAATTGCAAAAAATTGCATATTAGTCACAGAACCAAAAACATTAAATCCTTCTTTCATTTTTTGCTTTACACCAGCATGTGGTCATATAGTGGTCTTGTTTCCATATACCTAAATATAAATTTGAAATATAACAAACGAACTCACCATTTATCTGCACCAGCCAGATGGAATCGCAAAGCCCCCATAGAATGGCGATGACAAAGACCACGTACGTTTGGTCATGTTGCGGCCGCCATGTGAGAAGCGAGATGAACAACCCCAAATGAACTAAAAACGCTACACATATGAGAGGTAGACGTCCCGTTATCTGAAAAATATTTACGCATATTAAATAATAAAAACTGTAATTTATACTGAATAATATATCTATCAAAGGTTTTTAATTAATATAATTAAGTACCATTGGCAGCATTTAAAAAAAAACCTGAAAAGCGTTCTTTTACGAAGCAATAGGATTACCTAAGCTTTCATTTTAAAACTTAAACCCTAGAAAACTACATAATGAATAAACTTTTTAATTGTTACTTATACGTACATAAAAAGTTTAGTATTATAATTTTGGACTAAACATAAATATTATTTATTATATTATACTTGACAATATCACAGATATATGAAAATCGACAAATTAACACTTTGTAATAGTTAAAATTCTTTAATCATGAAATTGGAAAAGTAACTTATGTAAGTTCTTATTATGTAACTAGTTGTCACCCGAGCTTTGCTAGGCGTGGAGTATATGGAATTCAAAAATACTTCTTTAAAATCCCATACCTATACTTTCAGTCGTTAATACGTGATGGCACGGACGTGACAAAGGAAAAATCATTTTTATTATATACTAGCGGCTGACCCTCGCTTCGCTCGGGTTCGCCTCTAGAAAAACAAAAATAAATCTATCCCTCGAGAACCGTATATTTTTCCGGGATAAAAAGTAGTATATGTGTTATTCTAGACTATGATCTATCTCTGTGCCAAATTTCATCCAGATCCGTTTAGCCGTTCTGGCGTAAGAGTAACAAACATCCATACATACTCACAAACTTTCACATTAATAATATTATTATAAAAAAATAATACGGATACATATGTATATAAAAAGATATACCGTTACTTACTTTAGCTAAATACCCTGTGACGACACAACCAATAGCATCGGCCATACCATACGTCATCATTACGAACCCCACAGTACCGGTGCCGATGGAACAGGAAACAAATGCCTTAAATCAAAAAATAAAATTCATCATAATATTGTGAAGGCTCTCCTTCGACTACGGCACTCTGTTATAAGTCAAAACTATATCTTATTTTTACCTTTCTCTATATTCTATAAAAGCTATCTATATATCACACCCCCCGTAATATCCGTCTGTATTTAAGTACTTTTTAATATATAATAAGTTTATTATTCTATTGCGCCTAGTTTAATTCTAATAGCAAAATGTTAAAAGTTTTCGATACTTGCGTTGCCTTTGTAATTATAAGTGAACTAACTGAAAAACTAATTTTAATCACAGAAATATATCAATTAGTAGCTATTCCACAAACATGTTCGTCGGATAATAGACTCGCTACCACAAGAAATCATAACCTAGTTTTTTAACCATACTTGAAGTTAGCCCGATAAGGTTGTTCCATATTAAAAAATCCTATAAGTTAAACCAGTGGTTCTAGACCTCCATATAATCGAACATAGATGCTTTATATTTATAATGTATAGGGATTTACGAAACTTACTGCAGTAAAGTCGGCTCCAAAGAACGCTTGCTGCATTCCGATGAAGATATTGACGATGACCAGCATGAGCTGGTTGGGCTCGATGAGGAGCTTCACCGTCACCACCAGCAGGGCGATACCGGAAAGGCCTGAGCCGGTGGCATTACGGTTTGTGTTGTATCTGGATAGTTAAATTTATAGCGATTAAGTATTAAGACTAGAATATATAGATAGAGGCACTTCGCATTTATAATATTACGGAATCTCTCAAACAAGACGATATTCTTTGACTCAACTCATGATATCTGAACTTATTTCTGCAAAAGGTTTATAAGTTATAGACTTTATCTCTCCTATATAATCCCTTCTATTGATAAAAACCGCATGAAAATCCGTACAGTAGTTTCTGAGATTAGGTAGAACAAACACAAACTCAGCGCGGCGGGAAACTTCAATTTATAATAGGTATGTGATAATGAGGTCATTCACATCATAATGAGGTCAGTCACATATATAGATTATTATTTATTAAGTACTAGTGACTTACCCTGGCTTCGCTCGGGTGCGTCCCTAGGTAGGTAAGTTTTAACTATACATATATAAATCGTTATTAGCTAGTGCCAGGCATGTCATCTTTTTCGTGATTTTCCGATGTTTTAATAGTTATAGCGCTATTCATGGCGGAAACAAATCCAATAAATCAAGGATCATCAAAATCGGTCCAGCCGTTAAGAAAGTAGAGTTAGGTACACCATTTATAGTTATAAATGGTGTACCTAACCTACTTTCTTTTATATTTATGTATATATAGATTTTTAAAAATGTTTTTGTAATATTTTTAGATATACACTAGTAAATTTCCTCTATTACACGGTCCAATACAAAATTATGTACGGGGATTGGGGGGATACCTACACATTAACATGAGTGTTAATAAGCAATTCATGAATCATCATTACATGATAACTTTGGAATATTTTTATTTTTTAATCTATAATTAATAACATCTACAATTCATACCTCTTCATAGAGTCTACACCTATTGCAACGATAAGGGCTGCTCCAGCCATGCACGCTAAGTATATACCTGCAAAGTAAAACACGCGTATAGTAAAATATAAAAAGAATGGAACACGTACTAAAAACTCAATTTAATGATGGCAATCAAATATTGTCTTGTTAAGGCTGCTTGCACGAGGACTAATACCAATTAAACAATTACATCACTCTCTGTCGCTGTCCTAGAAACTGTCTATCTGTGACATCAAAAATGACCACTTTGTATAAAAAGTATAAAGTTTGTATAAAAACTTTCATGACTTGCCTTTTGTTTAGGGACTAAATTTCATTTATTACGAAGCGTTTAATACAAATATTTATTACAATACTTTAATCAGATTTTTGAAATATAGATCCCAAAAAACATCCAACTTAGTTGGTTTAAAGAACTCCTGTGAAAAGTTACCGCTTCTACCATAACTCATTAGATCACTTAGAATGGGTCTGTAAACCATTGTTAGAGTACATACTCTCTAGATCATATGATCTTCACAGATAAGTTAAGTTAACCTAAACTGACATAATTCATAACCAATAACATATGAAAATCATACAAATGATACAAAACGAACATACTTAAATTCCAGCATGTTATATAGTGATGATGATATGTAGATTAACTACAGATATTACCATATGGTAATATACCTGCTATCATTTGAATCTTCTCAGGGGGTTGTTGCTGGAGAGCCACGCCTGCATCTGCACTGGGAAGAAAATTGGCCCCGCAGAGTTTGGGAATCATCGTCGCGTTAACAGCTGTCACTGCTGCTAGATTGTCTCCAGATGAGATCACTGGAATGAATAATAAACATAAATATTGCTAAGTTAAATATGTTTGGCTCAGTTGTTGCAGTGATCCTACTTGCAGTGCCGCGGTCGCAGGTTCATGTCCCGCTGGAGGCATTCATTTGTGTGATGAGTGCGAATATTTGTACTCCAGTCATGTGTGTTTATATTTATAATATGTACGTATTTAAAGTTATATATTATGTATAGTGTATCAACTATCTGGTATCCATAACACAAGCCTCGTAGCTTACCATGGAACTTGATGGTGCTGTGTGTTAATGTACCAACATAATATTTATTTTATATGTTTTTCGCCGTTTCAATTTTCATTAGCTAAATTTTTACCTACAATCGAAATAAAATATTTGGGGAGCTAATATCAGATTGTAAGAAGTATCGATATACGCCATCTTTATCCATTTCATCACAAATTAAAACTGTGAGTTGGTATAAAAACGTCTCAATGTTTATACGTTTCTTATTAAATGGTTTGCACTAACTTAATATCTTCTTTTTCTTACAATGACGAATGTAGAGCAGAAATAATAAATTATTATTAATTTAAAAACATCCAAGAAAGTAATCAAACTAAAGTCAGAGCCACAGAATTTGTTAGACTGTTATTAAATGTATTATGTAATATGAACATATTTGATAGTTTATAAATATTGAGTACACAAAATGCATTGTCAAATAACGTTCGGGTTAAACTATTTTTTTTTAATTTAATAATTAAAGTTAAAAGTTACCCAATGAAGAAATTAAATTTCCCCAAACTTGGTTAAGTTGGAAGATCATGAAGAATAATCCCAGGAAACGCACTAATAACGCCTCTGCTGATACATTTGATACCTTGCTGTGTGCTTCTGAAACCTGAAACATTGATATCACAATAATATCTTTGCCAATATTATAATTATAAATGCGTATGTTATGGTTTGTGTGAGCGAATCGACGTAAGTTTTTGCAAGGATATAATTTAATACAGATGTCAGAGGCATACAAAAAATGACCCCATTAACTTATAAATCTACTAGCGACTCACTAGACTATACATTATAAATAGAATAGATAGACTATATATTATATGAAACGGGCTATCTAATGTAAAAAGATTTTTTCAAACCGGATTAGTATAAGTTCCTGAGATTAGTGCGTTCAAACAAACTCTGCATCTTTATAATATAATAGTATAGATTTCATAAAGCAACCTAGACGAGAGCAAAGTAAAACGAAACTCGTTAGAGGAATATAGAAATATTTTTTAATTTTATCAAAAACATATTAAAAAGTCAATATTGCATCTGAGTAATTTGCGACCATCTTCTTCTTTCTCTTTGCCTTTTCCCACTTTAGGCGGTGTCGGCTCTCCAAATTATTTTGCGCCAGGCAGTTCTGTCCTGGATTGTCCCTATGTCTATATTAGCCTGTTTTATGGTTCGGGTCATGTTAGTCCACCAGGTGCCGGGGGGGGCGCCCTCGTCCTCGTTTTATTTCGGGTAAATCCAACGCCCTGCGAACGACATAGTCTTTGTCTCTCCGCATAACGTGTCCGTACCATCTTAGTCGACTTTCTGTTAATTTTTCATTTATCGGGGCTACTTTAAAGCTGCCTCTTACTCTTTTCTATAAGTGCGACGTCATCTGCATATAGTAGGCTCCATAGTAGCGGAACTTGAATATCGTTTGTTAAATAATCCATAACCAGGTTGAAAAGTAATGGGCTTAAAGCTGATCCCTGGTGCACTCCCACTTTAACCTCAAAGCTATTGCTCAAGCCGGCCGGACTTTTCACCTGAGTTTTGATATTTTGGTACATATCGCTGATCAAGCTAATGTAATACTCAGGTACATTTTGGGCTCTCAGCGCTTGCCACACAAGTCACTCTATCGAACGCCTTCTCTAACTCAATGAATATAAAATGAAGGTTCTTTTTATTGATCCTATGTTTTTCCATAAGTACTCATACTGTCAGGATTGCATCTGTTGTGGACTTGGAAAGAGTAAAGCCAAATTGGTTTGGCGATATCGTGGTTAATAGTTGGATTCTACTATTGAGTATACGGTCCCAGATTTTGAGGGTATGTGAAGTTAATTTTATACCTCGATAATTCCCACACTGTGTCACTTCTCCTTTGTTCTTTTAAAACGGTACCAGGTAGCTTTTTCTCCATGAATTTGGTATCTCTGATGTTTTTAAAATGATACTGAAAAGCTTTGTAAGCCACCCGATTCCTATTGGCCCAAGGACTTTCCACAGTTCCGCAGGTATTTCGTTTGGCCTCACTGTTTTGTTGTTTTTCATTTTAGACACTGCCTTCTGCATTTCGGCGAGTGTTAGGTCTTTTATAGGACCCCGCACTGGTTCCAATGGTATAAGATGTTCGCTGGGATATTCCTCATTCAGCAATGATTCGTAATACTCATACCACTGCTTGTTTATATCAGTATTTGTGGTCAAGAGGATATCATTTTTATCTTTAATATATTTATTGATTCTAACATCTAAAGTTGCATTGTGCCTTTTCTTGGCAATTCTGAATATTTCGCTGTCCGACTTGCTGTTTATCTGAGTAATTTGCGACCATTATAACTTATTATACTTAGTTGAAAGAAATATTAATCACTAACGGCTCAGCCTCTAGCTATAGCTACGTTTTAAATTAATATAAATAGCTATTAGCCAGCGTTACCCATATATATATATTTGTTAATAATATTGACAAATATTGACATTAATATTTATACGATACTAACGTCACTCAATTGTTTTGCCTTCCCGGAACCTCTCCACTAACACTTAAACTTTATGGTATGGTATTAAAGTTCAAATTAACTTTTAAGTATTATTATGAATCTTTTGTATGAGAGTATAGAAAAGTGTTGTTTTTAGACTTTTTCAGGCAATTTTTTAAATTTTTCTCCCCGTAAGAACTATCCTCGTACTTCAAGGAATATTCTAAAACGAGAATTAGCAAAATCGGTTCAGCTGCTCTCGAGATTTGCGCTTAGCAACACATTCAGCTAATCATTTTTATATTATAGATAAATTAGCATAAATATATGACCTCGTCTGCGTAATTTTCTGGAGAAGAAAGGTAATTTATAAATATTACAATATTATTTAATTAAATGACCAACACGCGCTAGCCTTACAGGTACTCAATATTTTTTTATACAAAATGCAACATGCCATAGACCCCGGACTACGAGTCCGTGCCAATTTATCATAGTCTATGTACTGATTACAGTATACAATTTTTTTTTAATCTGCATACTGTGGATAGGTACCTTTTTATTCACTTAAAACTATAAAACTAACTATAAAATAATAATTTCGTCTTCAAACATACCACAGATAAATAAGTGCATTTGGAACACCATAGTGGGCCTCCACCCAAGCCGAGAATAAGGCCTGCTGGAATTAGGGTATAAAAGCGGGGGTACAATTGAGCTGCGATATACGGCATATATGTGATGAAGGATAACGAAATTGCCCATTTTGTGCCGAGCCATCTGAAAATAATTATAAATTAGTTTTAAATTCACCTTTAAAAAACTAGTTTCTGCCTACTGCTTGGCCTCCATTAAAAGTATAGTTATAGTAGTTTAAGGTATATCATGCTGAAATATTATGATGTCTATGATATGATGATATGATGTCCTCCCAACGGATTTTGGCCACGGCGGCCAAATCTCACAGAGCCAACTGTGTAGGATATATTACTCTCAAATTCCGGTGGGACAACAATTCAACCGGAACGGTGAGAGATAAGGCATTAGCCCGACTGATTCACGAGGGTAAAAACCGCCAATAGGGGCATTTCATATGAAGCGGACAGGAAAAAAAAGTGAGGTTAGGAAATTTGTTCATATGCGGGTTATTTATACCTCTAGTAGGTATGACAGTGGATTCGTAATATTTTTTTTCTACGATGTTTATTTTTTAAATTATGGGCCTTTGAACAATAATCATAATCCAAATTTCGATGTTTTAGATTTAGTTATTCGAATGGGGAAAATACAAACAACTATTAAACTTGGCGTTTTGTATAGGTTTTTTTGTTGTTCTTTTTTATAAAGAAATATTTTTTGAAATTTAAAAAAAAATAATGTACAAAACCGGAAGTGAAAATTTCAAAACAATTTTTTGATCACTTCGACCAATTTTTTTATTTATTTTTTTACACCCAAATATAGCCTATAGTATTATTAAAAAACACTAAAAGTTTCATAGTGAAGTCTCTATTACTTAGAAAGATGGGGAAATTAATGTACATGCATGTCGCTCTGAGCGTGATGCTTCATACTAATTTATGTCAGTTACTTGGCGAAATTTGAAGTGTAATCACATGTATCATTTAATTCAAGTGAGTTTAAGCTCTGAAAACTTAGGGTTTATTACTTGCTATTTTTTACAAGCTTGTATTACCAGTCAATGCCTGGTCCAACGTTCCTGAAACATAGCTAACTTTGATCTTAACAGTCAAAGCTTTCGATTAAAACAAACCGCACTCGGATGCACGCATTTGAGAAAAACGAAGCCATAGTACAGACAGACATACCACACATACACACAAGAAACCTATAACACCACTCTTTTTTGTCGTGGATTAAACTGATGTATAAATTAAACTGAAAATTCAATTATGAAAATTAACGTGATACTAAATTCAACCCGCATATGAACAAATTTCCTAACCTCACTTTTTTTTCCTGTCCGCTTCATATGAAATGCCCCAATATCCAACTTCAGGCTTTTACTGAGACCATAACAGAAAGAGTCAGTAACTAAACTTGGCCCGACCGAGACTCGAACCCAGGACCTCTCAGGATGTACAACCGTACGTGAACCACTGAGGCAGTTAAATAACCGGTAATAGATATAAATATTCAAAAACATTATAAGCATGATAATAATATACACATAAAAAAAGCATTTATTTTTTATTTTAGGCATTCTTTCTAAATGAAGTCACAATTTGGCCATGAACTTTATAGGTACTCAAACTAGAACTAGAATGCACATACATAAACATATTATTTTAGATACATAATTAAAATAATTCTCATATTTTTTTTAAATATGTATAGACTTACAGGGATGTCTCACAAAATAGTTTATTTTCATAAGGAGTTATATTGGAAATATGTATATCGGAAATATAAATATACATATAACCTATTTCACTGCCATAATCTTTTAAAATTCCCTATATCATTTACTACAAAATAAGTTAAATTTATATACTTACTTAATAACAACAACAGGTAAGAATATATTTGAGAATATAAGGCCCGCGTACACGGCAGCCAACGACGCTGTTCCTAAACCTTCGTCTGCGTTGATGGAGCTTTGAAGATTTGCTGCTCCCTGAGAGAACATAATGTATTTGAAATATATTTAAATATTTAAAAAACTAATTTTTGGTATCAAATCGCAAATTTACAAAAGGTAGTCACTTGTTACTAAGGGAATTCATATCTTCTATTTGAAGAAATATTTTCCAGAATATCAATTAAAGTCAATATGTAATTGGGCAAAATTTTTTACGTGAATAGAACTAAGGTGATATAGGGTACCAAACTATACAAAAATTTATATTAATAAGGTGGCTTTATGTTTATCTCAGTCATATTTTTCAAATATCTATTATAAATAGTGTCGAAAAAAATCCTTTAATTTCCTTTTATAATTTTCAAAGCAAAAATTCATTTCTATTTCTTAAACGACCCCTTTCAGCTGATATGCATCACAATACAATTAATATAACCCTCAAAGTAAACTTTCTTTACATTCTGCAGATTTGAGGAAAAATAATTGTGACAGATAGACAGACACACAACAATTATATTAGGTTTTCATTTTTGCCGTGAGTATGGAACCCTAAAAATTCATTTATATTATTTAAATTTTTAACGTTGTATCTATCGATCAAAAACGTTGTATCTTCGATAAGTATATAGGAGATGATCTTTATTGGTCACGCCAGTTTAACATCCGCTTAAAAAAATATGTACATTTTATATTATCTTAATGCTTAAGATATAAACCGGTTCACGATTTATTCCTTGTAAAATAAAAATCACACAATGTTCAAAATATTATTAAAACCAGCCGTTAATGTATAAGCTGGTACTACAATTGAGTTTGTAGAGCCAAATAGATTTTTTTTAGTCATACGTATTAATATAAGTAGGTAGCTTTTTCAAAAATACACCTATACCTATATACCTAATCTTGTTATATTTTACTGATTGACTCTAAACTAAATGTTTAAAATAAATTATTTTTGTAACTTTCGTAAGTCGAAGAGATAACAAACGAGTTATTAATATTTTTTTTAAATAAAGAAATGTTTTCTTTGAGGAAAATTTGATAACTTCAAAGCTACTTTTCTTCAATGTCCCGTTCATTTATAGTGGTACCCTGTATAAATATCTCCATTATACTCGTAAATGCGAAACTTTGCATGTTGTATGTGCATGTTTGTTACTTTTTCACGTTGGCTCTATGGATTTGTATGAAATTTAGTACACAAGAGTGACATATATTGGATACCTAGAGTTGCGCCTGAGTAAAATATATAAATGTACAATTATTTAAAAGATAATTCTTTATTTATATTCAATTATCTTTTAGATAAAGTTATATAAGCTTACGCCATAAAAAAATGATATAACTAAATATATCAATATATTTTTATAGCCTATCCTTAAGAATTTATTGTATTAAACCATAACTCACACTGTAGGCTGTGAAGTGCACCATGAAAGCGATACTGATGACCACAACATTTTTCATAATCCTCCACGTCTCCCTGGGCTTCAACTCGACTTCTTGATCTTTCGTCATATTTAATTTTGTAAAACTTAAGTAACTGTTCGAGTAAGTTACAATGCAACACTAACAGATATCACAACTAATTAATTCTCGTTTAACTTCATTTTAATAGCTGCCCTAATTATAATTATTAGCAGATTAAAAGACCAGAAAATTTAAAATATGTTAAAAATTGAACGATTAAAAAATCACATAATAACAAGTATGTGCTTAGTTTAATTAATTATAACGAAACTTGTTAGTTTTTTTAATGTCAAATAAATGATTATGTTTTTTAAATACATATTTGGTTTTAATTATGTGTTTTTTCGAGTTTAGCGTTTAAGCGTTAGGTAAATGGATCGCACATAGTTTTTAATGTTAATTTTTTTCAGTTTTTGACGTTACAAATTCGTAATTATCTAAAAGAACCTAATTCAATATTTCTAAATTGAAAAATTATTCTCAGTAAATCTGTCAATAACCTATTTTTATTTATATACGAGTAAATTGAGGCATTCCATCAATATGAAGATAATTAGAATTTTTAATTTTTATTTATTTTTTCCTTAGTTTCACAAGAATAGATATAATATATAAAATAAACGTAAAAATAAATGTAGTCTTTGGACCTTCACGTGAAATGCCCCTAGAATAAAACAGGATATTTAAATACTTTGTCTCTGCACGATATAATTAATGAAAATCTACAAACTTATTTGGTTGTTTTTTATATTTTAATTTTATAAATATTTTGACCTAGATTTCTTGATAACCGATATAAAAAATTACTAATAAATCTATGAACCATAGACATCAGGTAAATGTAGAGAGATATTACTGTACAAGCAAAAAATTGCTATGCACCATTCATTATAATATTAGATTGTCTTACTTTTCGTATAACGTACTTATAGGTTAGTATTAAGACAGTATAACATGAATGTAATAAGCAACCTATTATAGAACCAAAAGAATATTCAAACAATGGGATAAGAATTAGGTAGAAATATTCAAAACAAAGCCCATTCATAATGTTATTAATACAATATTAGAGAAGCTTAGTTTAACAACCACTTCCAGACAATCTTGATTGCAGTCAGAAACATACGTATTTATGTAGGTACGTACTACATACCTACATGTTTTAGACTAGCTGCGTGTGCGTATGTCTCGAAAAGTAAATATAACAAACACTGTGTTCCTTCATAAATGTGTTCTCTTGTGTTTAGTTAGCTTTCTAGGCAGTCAGTTTTTTTTGTAAATATTTTTTTATAATATAACTGAACTTAATATTATTTAATTTAGCATTATGTAAAAATTTAAAACATAAAATTCCTTTAATATATGGAACTTTTAGGAAATTAAAAAACTTATTTCTAATAATGCTAGGCGAACTATTAAAGCGAAATTTTCGTATGTATCATATTTGCACACCTTATTGCCCGCCCTTTTATGTAATTACTAATAACATCACAAAATTATTACGTGAGGACATGACAACGCAAATGACATTTTTGTACTTTTTACCGGTCATTAGGATTACTTTGAATTTCCTTAAATTAGTCGTTGAAATTCCAAAAATACCTTTAATGCGTTGTATTTTCAATAAAACATACGAATAAAGGTCGATTCTAAAAGAGAGATAATCAATGAATAATTAGCTCTATAAAATTAAAAAAAAATTTTTTTTCAACATATACATAATGTATATGATGTCGATTATCAGTTATCACGATGCAAACAAATTTCAATATAATACCAATTTTGTAGGTTGACACATTTACAACATTTTGTTATTTTATGAATACTCTCTCGTAAATCAACTTCGTAGAATATAATAAGCAGTTGAAGTGAAAACGTGACAAATAATCATAAAATAAAATGTATATGATAACATAATGTGTTAAAATGTCACGTAGTATATCCAAATGGCTAGTTAAATTTTATACGCTTTTGTATGTTTTTATTTAAATTGATCGTTATTGTAAAAAAATGCTATGAAATAGTGTACCTACTCAAACTAAAAAATGAATGAAAAATAATTTTTTTTAAAAATCCCGACCATCTTAGACGATTTTCATCAAACAGTTAAAAACACTCCCGACTAATTAACCTTTCAAACAGAAAACAAAACCAAAATCGGTTCATCCGTTCGGGAGCTACGATGCCACACATAGACACACACAGACACGTCAAACTTATAACAGGGTAACTTAAACTTCGTTTATGCGTCGTGGTTTAAAAATATGCATGCATGAAGCTGAGGGAGAAAAATATACGCGTTTTAACAATTTCAAAATATTCTCTGGAATTAAATATAAAAGTTCGTGAAGTTTATTTTAATTAGAAGGACACTTTTCTTTAGGTAACCTTAGATGCAGTTGCTTCCTTAAACACAAGGAAAATCAATCGAAACGTGACCTGAATGTGAATTACTATGCATGACGATCACAATTTGGTAAAGATACAATATATATAAAAATTAAATGTGGCACTCGGAGACTGCCGCGGTAAAGCTATTGCATAGCATTTTTTATCAACTTATGTAATTATAATTATTTATTTATTTTATGAATGCAGTATTTTTTTCCTTGACTTTCTTCATTAATAAATGCACTTTGTTTATTCATATTTAAAACACTTTGTACACAAATTATACGAGTACAGATATTCACTGTTGTACATAGATGATAAATACCTATACACCTATATACTTTCTCACAAACAGCTGATTACGGTAGTTTTCCAATACAACCAATGCCACCTAAAGGCGGCTTGCTGAACTAAAGAGACAAGCGTGATATTTCAAAAAGTCATTAAAAGTTCTGGTATTTATCGATAGATGGAAAAACTAAAAAGTATCACCGCTGTGCCGGTCGGAGTGGGAGGTGTCAGGTTTTTTTCGTTACGGAATTTCTGGATTCGGTCCCCACGCTCAAGGCCCGCGATAGAAGCTATGCAATAGCTTAAAAATATTCTTTTACTAAAATGAAATAATTTCTTCAAATAGTAAGTCGAATTGAAATATCTTTAATTTTCAACAAAGAAGAAAAGGTATGTGCGTGCGGTCAAGCTTTTTATATAATTCCAAAGCCACATTCCTACAAACGTCAAAACACGATTATCAAATCATTCATGTTTAGCTAAAATTACAAAAAAAAGCACTCGTAATAGTAAGTACTTGTAGTGGTTAAATTGCCTAAATTTTTTAACAAATGAAATTTTGTCTGTTTGAAGGCCACCTCGTTGTAAAATAAATACATAAACGGATGAAGCCTGAAAATAACAACACTTTCTAGGTCGTAATTCGAATTGTTCATGATTTTCCTGTCAGCTGCTTGAATCCAAATAAAAATTACTTGTTCGTCTTATTCTGTCTAATTATTTGACTGTAATAATATGTACTCGTAGAGGAGTAGGTACAATGACACTACGTGATAGACATAATTTACTACTACTAACTACATCCAATGCCAAACGCTATTTTTTAAAATGTGGCCTAACTAAACTTTATTATGATATTAGGTTAGGAAGTAACACCCATCATACAGTTTTTTTGATGTCACTGGGGAAGCCTGTCTTGAAATCCCTGCCTGTCGTCAGCAGGGGACTGTGAGACACCTACTCAATAAAACTCACAGCGGAAACCTATCGCCGCAGTGCAATGGGGCGTTACAGGATCGCATTCGCAGACACTTGTTATAGTACCCTAAAACACATACAGTGTAAAAATACTACCTAATAAATGTTAGCATTCTCGTAAATTCACAATCACATCCAAAATATTCCAAATAATTATTTTAGAAAATATTTAATACAATCATTGACATTGCACTAAAAAAAAACATCTTCTGTGCAGATAGCTAGTCTAGCTAGTCTTAGAACGACGGGCCACCGCGACTGCCTGAATATATTTTCAAACTTCACTATTTATCAAATCAGATATAAGTTATAATATATAAGTATATACGTATATGTAAGTAATCTTAAAGAGATAAGGTATCCTTTGTCGACATTCTGTTTCTTTATTTTGTATAATATATATTTTATGGTACATAAATAAATAAATATATAAAAATAAAATCGGCCATGAGGACATTTTATTTTATTATCAAAATATACAAAACTCGAACTTTTTAATTTATTTATTTCATTGCAATTTCTGCAAAAAAATGGAACTTAGCACTAACTTATCTCCGACACTATTGCAAAAAATATTAACCGTAAAAAAAACACAATAATTTCCTATATTAACATAATATGTATGTATGTATTCAGCCCTTTTTAACGTCCCACTACTGGGCACCGGCCTCCCTTCAATACGAGGGGAATCAGGCCATAGTCCACCACGCTGGCCAAGTGCGGGTTGACGGACTTCACATGTCTTTCGAAAACTTGCTAAGTTTTCTCAGACATGCAAGTTTCCTCACGATGTTTTCCTTCACCATAAGGCAAGTGGTAATCAAGTTAGAAATGAATCGCACATGAAAATATCAGAGGTGCGAGACCCGGAATTTGAACCCGCTTCACTCGGTTTCCCAAGCGAGCGCGTTACCACTGGGCTACCATTGCCTTAATATACTTACTTGTAAAAAACATTGTTACAGATTATATATCGGATCTTTTATAGGAAACAAAGTAAATGTTCTAATAGTATATAATAGTTAAATTATTATATAGGTTGATTCCTCATACAAACTCTCATCGCCATTTTCACCCCCTTAAGGGATGATTTCCGGGATAAAAAGTATCATATGTCCTTCCCAGGGTCTCAACCCCCTACAACCTCACAAACTCACAAACTTTACCTCCTTTTAATATTAGTATAGATACGTAATTTATTACATTTTAGCATTTGCGGAAATATTCAACTTACATGTAGATATATAATATATACATAATTATGTACATATGTAAATGGCATTGACATTTTTTAAAAATACGACTTATCTTAATAAGTTTGGTACAGCCTCTTGAAAGATATGTAAAATGGTAATTTTACGTAATTATAATATTATGTTAAAATTGTG